AGCATGCTCCATTCTCTGACCCTCAGACAGGCTTTATTTGTAGAAGCAAGATAGCACCACAATTTGTTTGATGAAGGGTAAGAACTACTTATGTTTGGTACTAAAGATAAGTACTTAGAATGCAGTTAGAAGTTATACTGGCTTGGGAAAGTGGCAGACGAAAAGTTCTCCTCTAAGGTCTATGATGTTATCACCCACAGGTAGTTAGCTAGGTTTACAGAACTAGGCATGAATTTACTTCCACTGAGTAGGCCTTAAATCCAATTAGAAAGCTGTTGGTTGCCCCCCTAGTTAGAACTGCCACTATTGCCTACTTGAGAGCATCTCCCTATGCTGTTTATTGTTGTGGTTTACAGGCTATATAGCTGGATAGGACTATTGAATGCTTTTCTCCCTTGGCCGTTTGCAGAGATTCAGATACTGTGAGAGCTAGTCCTCATCAAGGAGTCTCTCAGGTCCGTTCCAACTCATTTCCTCCAAATTTTGTGTCTGAAATACATGGTATTTTCATCAATAGGGTTTTCCTTTCAAGTTCTGGAAGAGGTGGGCAACCAAAGTCAATGGCAATAGCCTACACTATTTGATGGGGCTCTTTGATTTCTCTGGCCAACTCTAAACTATCAAGGGGCTTATATATAGTGTCTATATTTCTGTGTATCTATAGCATTTGAGTGCCTGTGCTGTGAAAGATGGAATCCAAGTCCTTGCACATGCTGGGAAAACACTCTACCACACACCCAGCTATAGAAATCCTGAATTTTGTGCTGAACCTTTTTATTGTGAAAGTTTTATGTTTCATTTTGTTCTTCTGAATTAATCTCTCTCTCTCTCTCTCTCTCTCTCTCTCTCTCTCTCTCTCTCTCTCTCTTTTAAACAGACAGTGAACTTGGCCATACTCACAGTTGAAAAACAATTCATTCCCTGCAGTGTCTAGAAACTTAAAATTATATTCAGTTCCTTTATCTCAAGGCTATATAGATTCTGTACATCAGGAATCAACTAGAAATTTGTGCAAAACTTATTCACAGAATTTGGCTTGTCTTTTTATTTCCCTTTCCATGTTTTATTCACACAGTGAGACATCCCCTTAATGTCATTCTTTCCTCACACATGAAGATAACTCTAATTTCTGTCTACTTAATTTCTTACTAGTATTCTGATATTTTTAAATTGTAGATGGTTAATCATTGATATCTGTTGTAATATTAATCTGCTTGCTTGCTTGTTTGTTTTTGAGATAATGTCTCACTATGTAGCTCTGGATGATCCAGAGCTCATTATATAGACCAACTGATCCTTAACTCATGGCGATTCCCCTGCCTCTGTCTCCTGAGTGCTGGAATTGAAGACATGCACCACCACATCTGGCCCCAGAATACTGAACTTACAAAAATCACTCCATTACAATAATTCTGTTCCTAGCAATGAACTATTTGATGATATTCTTCCAGCCTTTAACACACATTATCTACATATAAATTTTAATTATGTTTTAAAAACCTCTCCAAATGCTATTGTATAATAAAATGCAAAAGGGGTGCCTAAAGTAATACAAAAGGGTACTTTTTTGCTTTTTTTATTTGAATTACAAACAAGATTGAATTACATGACAATCCCAGTTCCCTTCTCCCTCCAAAAGGGTACTTTCTATTTGAGTCAATGCACAAGCTCCAGTCTGAGCTTTGTTCTGCCTCAGACCATTCTTGCTGGCTGGAGCCAGACACATTCACAGTAATCAAGACAGAGGATTTGCAAAGAGCTGGGTATACCTTTAACTGGAGCAACTTCCAGGATGAATGTGTGATGGTGAGCATAGTGACTAACAGCTAAGAGTTACATCCAGGTAAATCTAGGTTCAAATGCTCTTTCTATCATTTCCTGTCTGTACTGAGCTTGGTCATCTGGCTGGAATTCTTAGTGTCAACATTCACATTAGTAAAATGGTGATGATAATAGTGACTTCTACATAGATATTTATGATGTGACTTGACTCAATATAAAAAGGGTGAAATATAGCTAAGTCCACTATCTGGTCAATGTGATGGTTTAAATGAGAATTGCCCTCCTAGACTCATATATTTGAATGTTTGGTCCCCAATTGGTACAACTATAACTGTTTGGGAAGGATTAGAATGTCTGGTTTTGTTGGAAGAAGTATGTCACTGTGGGTGGTTTCAAAAGCCCATTCCAGGCCCAATCTCTCCCCATTTCCTCTCTCTGCCACTTCCTTGTGGATAAGATATAAGCTCTTAGCTACTTTT